TTCATGAATCTGAGTTGGTTAATACTGTTAGTTTTTTAATACACTTTGTCAGTGAGACTAAAGGTGCTTCACTTTAGCATACATAATGGACTAAATATGCTCAGGATTATATTTGAGGAACCAAAATAGACCTACCCTCAAAGATAAGGGACAATATTGGCTAAAATTTTAACTCCATTCTCATTGAGCATAAAATTGACTCTGAGGCGATTAAGCTTTTTGAAATTTATAAACTTCCAATTATTCTTTAAAAAATGGTGCTAAATACGAGAAAATTTGGTATATAGCCACTTTTAAGGTTGGCTATTAGAGTTTAGCCATAGTTTAAATTGTATTGACAAAGAAGTTACTCATTAATGTGAAAATACAAATTTGGAAAAATTATACCCCAGCACTAAAGCACAAACACAACTCCAGCAACCGGTGCTTGAATTCAAAGTGTTGACGAGTGGAACAATAGTACACTATGATGGAGTTCAAAAATTAACTAAAACACGGCCAACTACAACAATCGTTGCTGGATTTCGAAACTTTGGCAAGTCGAACTCCATTAAAATGTGCTGGAGTTCAAAACTGCACATGGTGAAACTCCATCACATTACACTGAGGTTCAGTACTTCTAAAGTTCAAACCCCAGCAACAATGGTTCAAACATTTATATGTTCAAAATCTAACAACGATTACTGGAGTTTGTTCAAACTTTTATAGGTTCAAACCCCAAGAACACTTATTGAGGTTTAAATCCTTTCACATTATTTCACCCATGATACCTTCATATGAACTACCGGAATTGATCCTGGATTTTATACTAGTAAATACTCAAAAATCAAGAATCGTTTCTGAGGCTTCAAACTCGAGTACTGATTGCTGAAGTTGTATTTCGTGTTTTAGTCAAACTAGTGGCTACTTTGTCAGTGCATTTGAAAAGGTGGTCAAACTCTAATAACAGGGTCGAAAAGTGGCTATGCCATATTTGTGCACCATGCCCTGATTGTGCAAAAATTTTATTTTGAACATGAGGCTATTAAGCCCAGTCTCTTGTTGGCTCGTGGCCTCATAAAGCTGGGCTTGGTCCCCTTGAGGCCCAACTTGAAAAATATCAAATTAGTTTTAAACAATATATAAAAGGAAAAATGACATTGTATAGCCGCTCTCAAAATAATAGCCAAAAAAAAATATTTTTTATATATAATATACATTCTGTATGTTATATTCAAAAATTATACAAATTTTATATACTTTTTCGACTACTGAATGTCAATAGTTTCTGACACGAGCTAAAAGTGATATTTGTCGACTGACAAGGCTAGAGTTATTTAAGAAAGTAAGTAGAGAACAAAATTAAAAGGCCATATGCCTCGGCTTTATGCACTATTCTATTGTCCTTCTTCTTTAGGTTCCAAGTTCTATTATTATTAATTAATACCTTGTCTGATTATTAGATTCCCAGGCAGTAATAATATGCTATTGATTAAAAGACAAAAAGATCATTAATTATTCCTATATTTTGTTTGGTTTGAATTACTAGCTTATATTATAGTCAAAAAGATATTACAGGGAGCGGTTGCTCTTGGGCAACATTACAAGGAGTGCTGGAAATAATAGTAAGTGCATTATTGTGCATTGCTACACTATAACTAGTAGTACTACTATTACTATGGATAGGGTTTCTGTTGGAGGCATTGCTCGTAGATGGCATGTCCCACAGATTAAAAAAAGAGGTTAGGGGTTCAAACATGGCAGTATTTTATGTACTACTCATTCTATGTGTTGCATGGCCCTTTTTATCTTGCATGAGAAGGTTGATGATGAACGGAGGAGGGTCCGGCAAAAAGGTGATGTTATTGCCCGATAATTTCATTCCAAAAAGTGCTAGTCTATCCGTTACCATATTTTGCTCCCTATACGTGTGGCTGACCTTTGAATTACTCAGTTGCCGGATTAGAAACCTGCAATCAGTTAACAAAGATGAGTATTGTATGGTATGGATGTTCAACATGGATATTACCTGTAGGGCATCCATCCGGATTTCTAGCGGTGTTAGATTGTGATGTACTGCTATTTGCAAACCTCGCAGTAAGGCCATAAGTTCTATATCTATGACATTGGGGGCTTGGTAGTGACCCGCATATCCCATTACCTAATCACCCGAGTGATTTCTAAATACACCCCCAAAGCCTGCTCGTGATTTGTTCCCTTGGAATGCCCCATCTGTATTTAAAGTGATGAGTCCCTTGGTAGGTGGATTTCATTTGACATACCGAGGCATTTTAATACTTTTATAGGTGTATGTATTAGTTAAAAAAAAGATGTTCTGTAGTTAATTGAATAATTGACTTTATTGAAGGTTGTGTCAATACATTTTCAACGATTTTTGTTTCTAGTATTCCACAAATGCCAGAAGGCAAAAGGAATCAACTATATTAGAGGAATGACATGTGGGTGAAACGTGCCCTTTTGGTTAACAAGTTTTTGAAGCCAGATATGGTTAGGATTAGCTAGGGTGTTAACTGATCGAATAAGGTGTAGTAGTTAGGGCAGCTGTTAAGTTGTAGCATATTTGCTACTGAGAGTAGATGTTCATTATTATTTAAAGGTCCATATATAAGACTCCTAATATTCATATTTGGTGTAACCCAATTATCAGTCCAAAAGTTGACATGTGTACCCCGCGTGACATTCCATTTTAATCCCCTTTGGCAAATTTGCCATCCATGCATCATATGTTTCCTTAACATGGAGGTGCGTTTAGTAGGAGTTTTATTGGAGTAATATATTTAGAGATTAAGAATGAAGGGTGTGGGGTTGATGAAACATCCTCCATACTGTACTGGCTAATAAGGCATCGTTTTTTTACGAAGTGTTTGAATACCCAATCCACTTTGTTCCTTAGGATTAGTTATGGTTTCTCAATTTAAGAGGTGAATCTTCTTTTTTTTTTTTGCGAGGTAGAGCCCCATAATTTTTTTTTGATAGCTTTCTAATCTATTGATAATATTAGCGGGTAGTGACATAATCTGTATTAAATGATTGGGAATGGTATTTAGGGCTGCTTTGATTAAAGTAGTACGACCTGCCATTGTAAGATGGTTTGTTTTTCAACCCGCTAACCTATTTTTGAAATTATCTAGGAGGAATTGGTAGTCCCCTTTTTGTGGGTTTGGAATTAAAAATAGAAAAACCTAGATATTTACCAAATGATGTCCCTTCCACCATGTTGAAAGATGATAAGATAAAATTCTTGTCATTTATGGAGCAATATTTAGAGAAGAAATTTTTTGATTTTTCAAAATTAATTTTTTGTCCCGAGTGGTCAGTAAATTGGTTTAGTAAGTCTATAATTTTATGGCAACTAGTGGTTGTTATTTTGGATGCCAAAATAATGTCGTCTGCAAAGAGTAGATGAAAAATTTGAGGTCCTTTAGCATTCAATGAAATAGGTTTTCATTGGTTGTAGTCAACTGCGTTGTTTATTTGTCTGGACAACATTTCCATGCACGAAATAAAGAGGTATGGTGTGAGTGGATCACCTTGCCTAATTCCACAAGATGGTTTGAAGAATTTCGTGGGGGAACCATGTACTGAGGGAAGGGATTCCACCATGAGCTGGTGGTTTGCATGGGCATGGTCGTCCAGTTGTACTGGTTGTAAAAAGTCATCGCCGTTGTCATGCCCTTTGTGACCATCCGGGCTAAGTCTTGAGGGTTTTGGAGACGGACTATGATCTCCTGGTTGTTGACGATCATGAGAAAGTCAATGCATGATTTTGTAATCCCATCTCTAACCATGATTGAGGAGGTTGGAACGGATTTGGAGCTTGTGATATGTATATCACTGGGTAAGTGGTTGGAGGGGGATGTTATGTTGGAAGGGGTTCCACCATGAGCTGGTGGTTTGCATGGGCATGGTCGTCCAGTCGTACTGGCCGTAAAAAGTCATCACCGCTGTCATGCCCTTTCTGACTATCTAGGCTAAGCCTTGAGGGTTTTGGAGACATACTATGATCTACTGGTTGTTGACGATCATGGAGAAAATCAATGCATGATTTTATAATCCCATCTCCAACCATGATTGGGGAGGTTGGAACGGATTTGGAGCTTGTGATGTGTATATCACCGGGTAAGTGGTTGGAGGGGGGGTGTTGTGTTGCATGACTTCTGGGTTGAGGAAGTGGATGTTGAGTGGCCGGAATGGCATTAAGGAGGGTCTCTGATGGTGTGTTCTCAGTGGAAAGGGTGGGTTGGAGTGTCTGTGCATGGTTATATTGTGTGTGTGTTGTTGGAGGAGTAACAGTAATATGTGAAGGAAGTAGGATTGGTAATGATTGTGAAGTATTAGTAGTAGGTGTTGGATTGGTTTGTTGAGGCGGTTGTTATGGCGTTGGAGGAGAGGTTTCGTGTGGGTTGGGTTGTGGGCTGGGATGCAGTGAAGTGTCGTGCATGGAAAGGTGATTGGTTTCTCTTTGTGGTGAATTGGGTTGAGGAAGGCAGTGGGAGGGGTCATGATGGCTGTGTTCAATAGTGTGTGGGCTGGGAATAAGATTTGAGGAGTGCATGGTAGGTGTGTTGTGAGGTGTTTTGGGTGGTGGGGCGGACGTGTCAGTGTTAGAGATAGGATGAGTGGTAGTAGGGTTACTATTTGGTCTAGAATGGGGTGAAGTAGGGTAATTATCAATATTATTTTTTATAGGTGGATCGGATTGTTCTCTAGTTAATTGGGTCGACCCGCTATTTGTGTCCATGTGTTGTAGCTGGGCTACTATTTCACCTATTGGGCTAGATGATGTGTCCACTAATTTAATATTAGGTGTTTGACCTACTAGGTCGTGTGAAGGAGTTAATGAAGAAAAACTTTTTTTTTGATTAATAAATTGTTGTTAGGAGTATTGTTAGTGGAAACATTTGTTAATTTACTAGTAGTAGGAGTTGAGGAAAGCGTACCTTTTCCATAGTCAGTTGGCTATTGCCCAGACGGTGACTTTGGATCTTTAGGGTAGTGATTTACTGCATGTTGGCGAAGAGTAGAATTGGGTTGCTTTTCTGGAAAAGTAACCGCCTTCCATTCGGAATGTAGATGTTGTAGATCAGTTGTTTCTCATTCGTTAGAAGAAGAAGTGGTGGCTGTTGATGTTGGTGAACTGTTTGTGTGATTTTGCTAGGGCAATATGTCGTAGGATGGCCAATTCTACCAAGACGGACACATAGCATATTTAGTCCTTTATAAAGGATTTGCTGACGATGGTTCCTTATAAATACATGTGATTTTAATGGTTGTTCAAGGGGAACTTCAATACATATTCGACCATATTTTCCTCGTAATGTAGATGACGTGCAAGTATCAATTTTTAGTAACTTACCCAGTTTATTTCCCACTTGTTGTAAGATCTGAGTATCATAGAACTCAGTGGGTAATTCTGGGAGCCTAGACCAAATTGTTGTGTAAGTAAGTTTTGATGAGGATACTAGAAACTTAGGTTCATATCTCCTAACTGATAGGAAGTGGCCTAACACAAACCATGGACCCTCGTGTAGAGATTTTGTCATACTTTCTTCTTTTTGGTACTTGATTAAGAAGTCATTACCTAAATCAATGAGGGCCAAAGCCTCTGTTGGTTTCCATAATTGTTGCAGATTTTGCTTGAGGGTTAAGTAACTCACTTTTCTGCCAAAGACTTTAACTATAATGGAATATTTCCAAGGGGAATAAAGCCTTGCTTTGTTTTCTGTGGAAAGTGGAATGAAGTTATCTGAATTGTTGGCTGCTATTCTTTCTTCCGACATGTCAATATGGTATTGGGTATCAATGATGGTTGGAATTGAGGTATCGTTATTGTGGAGTAAGGTTTGGAGGAAAGAAGGGGTTTTCTGGGTGATGATTGGTTCATCAATATTCATGGAGTGTAAGTCAGGTGGATCAGTGTTGGGAATTGGAGTAGTTGTTTACCTTGAAAATGGTAATAAAAATTATATTTGATTTTGTGGTTCTAAAAATACGTGATTTATTTTTATACTAGTTGTTAGGCAGTAGATGCTAAATGTAAATAAAGAGAATAAGGAGAGCAAACCAAAGTTGTCACAAAATCGAGCCTCGAGCTGGCCGGAGTAGTGAGCTTCGAGGCTTGCTTACGGCAGTTGGTATTGAGCTTATTGATGAAGAAATAATGATAATGAGGCCTCAAAGATGGCCTTTTGCGGTTAATAATGAGAAATAAATGAAGAACAATGAATGAACAATGAAAGAATAAGCAATAAATGTGTAGAACAATTGTTTAAGCGAAGATCAGAGAATGTTGTATTGTATTCAATATGTTGTGTAATAATCCGATTGCTTTACAAGATGACAAGGGTCCCCTTTATATAGGCGAGGGGGAATCCTAACATAGTACATGTCTAACAATGATGGGAAATGGGTGTCGGTACAGCTGTATAATGGCTTAGTACGGATTCGTACTATTCTTGTAGACGTGGTCAGCTATAACCACGTGTTCATGGGAGCTTTCCCGCCTTTCCACGTTGATCATCGATTTGTAGTACTCCGAGATTGACCTTCGATGTGCTCCCTTGAGGGACGCACCTCGGGGTCATACTTCAAATTCTACTCCGAGCTCCTCGAGGTTGGTCATGGAGTGCTACAACAACCCCAAAGTCGAACTCTTCCGATTTTGGCCGTATACAGATAGTCCCCGCGTTTCTTAGAATGAAATGATAAGAAACGATCTTGAATTCTTGCCTCCTCGATACCCTTATTGTGGCGTCAGCCACGTGAGGTCATTAAATTTTGTAACAGAAAAGCTATACAGGGGCCTTCTCAACACGGTTCACGAAAAGCCAACGAGCCGCTATTGGTCGCCCTTTCAACTCCTCTAATTTACTTATAAATACTCCAATTCCCTATCTTTAAACCTTTGCAACTTCTTCAGATCTTCAAATTTTTGTTAACAGTTTCCTGTGTTCACCCTTCTTCTACGTTTACTTCTTCGCCATCTCGCTTTCAAACTTCATTATTACTATGGCCAAAACTTCTAAGGCGGTACCCCAAATAGGGGAAGCCCCTTCCTCGTCACGCTCGTCTAAGAGCAAAAGGGTAGTGCCTCCCTGCGTTGAGGAGTGTGTTCCTGGGTCCTTCGTTACATCCTCCGATTTCAAAGTTGACAAACCTTCTTCGATACCGGGCCGATGGGAGCCCATGTCTCGATATGTTAGTTCATTAAATGACATAGAGAAGGTGAAAGTAGATTGCCACAGAGAGAGGCGGTCCACGTAGAGATCCTTTCTTTGGAAGAGGATATAACCACACATAAACTTGATTTCCTCAGCGTGTATACATATCCTTTTACTTTAGGCCCTGTAGATTCTTCTTCTCCACCGATAGACCCGGTGATCCTCAATTTTTGCCGAGAATATCGAGTGACACTTGGTCAAATTTACCCTTCTTTTTGGGGAATCTTCTATTTGATTAGACATTTCTCGAACATGATCGAGGAGATGTCTTTCACCCTCGATCATCTGATCAGATTGTATAGCCCTAGTCAAGTTGTGGCATCGATCTGCCAAAGCAGTTTTTTGCAAATATCGACGAAGATAAAGACTGGGGGTGGCTGAGCCGCTTCGTTCGAGTCAGGACTTCGGACCTCATCCCTGCCAAGAATATGCCATTCCCTGAGGAATGGAATATAATACGTAAGTGTTGCTACACCGAGCATGCTTTATCATCTGAATGTCCTCTTTTCTTCTTTCAAACTAACTCCTTTCTTTTTTCTTTTTTGAATTGGTCCTCCTCTAGTTGCGTAGCCATCGTGTGGTTTCCCGGCACGGTCGAGGATCTCCCCGGTTGAGTTAGGCTTTTATACTCCACCTCACCATATGACATGTGCGTTTGGCATGATTTGGACAAAACTCGATGGGAGGCCGAAAATCATGGTACGCCTTCACTGCCATCACTTCTAAATCACTTATGAATGGATTTCTTGGCGGTATGTTCGACATTTTACGCTTGTGCAGGCCTCGGGGAAGCCGTGTTAATGAGATCGCCTCCTCCTGGCGAAGAGGAGATACAAAAATCCACCAAGGACAGAAAGAGAAAGAAGGAGACACCGGCGGAGTCCCCGAAATGAAAGAGAGCTAAGGCTCGAAAGCCCAGGACCGAGGCAATGTTCCTAACTTCGGCAGCTGCTGAGAGTCTTCGTGCCGAAGGAGAAGACGATGATAGTCGCCCGCTGGTACATAGGGCAAGGCGAAGCACTGATTCTTCGGAGGTTTCCGGGGAGAAGGCTATCGAGTCAGAGGTGGCCGATGCAGCCCCATCTCATATTGAGAAGCCCCTCGAGGAGGGTTTGGGTGCAGTCCCCGAACCGACTGTTGAACAGGATCAACTCGCGTCGATGAGTACTTGGTTGGTGCACTCGGTGTATCCCGCTCTGAAGCCTTTCGAGGGAGAGAGGAAGCCTTGATAGAGGTTGATGTCATAGGCGGTCTTCAATCAGGCCCGTCGTTTTCCCTAGGGCAAATACGAGATGCCCAGAACAGGAGGACTCCCGATGTTGGGGCATCCCGGGAAGAGGATGTTGCATTTGGAGATTTCTTTGTCGGTGTTGAAGAGGATACCGATCTCGATGCTCCAGTCATTCTTGAGGAGGCTACAAAACTTCAAAAACGGGTGATTTTTGACATAAACTTTGCTTTGGGTTTTGATCTTCGCTTTCCTAACTTCTTCCCTTCGTGTTATAGGTCATGATGTTGTATGACCAGGCCTTCTCCAAGTTACGAGCTTAGCTGACTCATTGTGAGGGTGAGTTCGAGAAGATCGCTTCGGAGTCAAACGAGCTAAAAGCTCAATACGCCCGTAGGGAAAAATAACTGAACAGTCTTCGAGCGGGTTCGGAGAAAATGCTTCAAGAGCGGGCCAACTTCATCGAGCAGGTGGATTGGTAATCACGAGCTTACCTTTTGTTTTCATAACTCGATGTTTATTATCTTGACTTGGTATTTGCAGAATGAGCGAAAGGATAACTTAGCGGGGTAACTTCGGGAAGAGCTCGCGGCCAAGGATGCAGAGATCCTTGAGCTGAGGTGGTACAAGGATAGTATGGCCCTAGAAAGGGATGCTCTTCGAGGAGAGCTAGCTTTGACTTAGAGTCTTCTTCTCGGTGCTAAAGAGGAGGCTCACAAATTTAAGGCGCTTCATGCTGAGTAAGCCGCCGCATTATCCTCGGCCAAGTCGGAAGCCGATGAACTCATCTCCTCATATTCTCATGCAGCGAATTCCCGAGCCAGGGAGATATCTAACAAGGCCGAGCTCAAGCTAGCTCTTGCCCTTACATATGCTCGATTAGAGGCTAGGAGGCAGGAATTTGAAGAAGTGCACGCCGAGGGTTTCGACCTCTCTGCCGAGATCGGAGAAGCGAAGGCCTTGGAAGAGGAGTCTGCAGCTCCGACTACTTCGGACGAGGGCTCTTTTAGTAGCTCACGGAGTAGTGAAGATGAAGACTAGGCCACATTTGCTCTTTTTACTTCTTTTTGTATGTGAACTCCTCGTGCGAGTTTTTGTAAATGCACTTTTGTAAATGCACTTTGTAAATATATTCTTGGAATGCAAAGGATTTTCTTGTTTAATCTATTCAGAGGTTTGCCTTTTAGTGTTCATGCCAAAGTCAGGCCTCGACCTTGAACTTAGCTCCTTTGAGCTTGGTCTCGGAATGACAGAGACCCTTGAGGTCGGGTTGTTCTGGTTTCGGTCGCAGACCTTCCCCCAGTCGGGTTAGTAATGAATCGATTTGATTCTTTGATTCCTCGAACACCGTGCGATGGCGTCATTCCTGCGATATGACTGTGAATTGACCAAAGTGGCCCCGTCAGTGCATTTTCCCAGAAGGTCATAAGTGCTTTTCAGAGCTGATTGGCTATCAAAGTTAAATGAATAGTCACCGCTCTTCTTATATCTACTCGCTTTCCTTTCATTGAGGGCTTTGCCACTTCGTGCAACTATCTTTCTCTATAGAGTTCCTCCTTTTGCGCTAGCCCTAGTGCCGTATCAGATTAAACTTTTCTCCTGAATTTCCATCTTTCCTTTCTTGTTCTGAAGGAACCATGATTACCATGCCCAAATCCGCTCATCAGAAAGAGGGAAGTCCCACCTCTGTTTCTCTCCCGACCGGTGTCACACCGCCGGCGTTTGGCGAGTAGACTTCGAACTGTTTCATTTTGATGAGAAATTTTGCGATAGAGAAGCCTCTCGACATTCCTGGTCATCGAGAACATGCATCGAGGTTCATTCGCTCAATTGAAGAGAGACACCTTGAGGCTGTGAGGAGAGACTGCGGATAGGGAGAAAAGGTGAGGCTGCAGATACCTTCCCGGGAAAAGGACATTACGACCCATGTAGAGGGGTTTCTGAACGTGTATACGTACCCTTTTATGTTGGGTCCTCTCGACCGACTCGTGCACAAATTTTGTCGAAGATGTCGAGTTACTTAGGCATAGATTCATCCGTCTTTCTGGCGGATCGTGTTGATGATTAAGATTTTTCGCTGAGAAGGCCGAACTCGAGTTCACTCTTAGCCACATCAGGTTGTATCGGCCTTTACATTATCGAGGTCTAATTACACTACGACGTCGATCAACCAAGCCCTTTATCGCTAGTCATGAAGTGGACGAGGATCGAGGGTGGATGAGTCGGTTTGTTCGAGTGAGGACTGTCGATATTATTCCCGCGGAGTTCCTGCCATTTCCCAAAAAATGGAATTTCAAGCGTAAATGTTATACCGAACTCTATTATTTTTGTT